CACAGTGGCGTAGTCGGCAGGATATCTTTCAACACCATGCAAAAAGGCTCCTGAGGTTACAAGCAGTAGTTGAAATAATGGCAAATGAAATCTGAGAGAGTTTAAAAAAACCCTGGCCAAAGAAACGGGCGATCTGACAGATGGCCCTCCAAAACTGTCAGGCATTGGACATTGTGCTGGCGGCCAAAGGAGGGACCTGTGCTCTCATTGGAAAAGAATGTTGTGTGTTCATACCTGATGACACCAATGAGGTAATAGATTGCGCTAGTCACTTAGAACAAATCGCATATCTTCCCCATGAAGAGCCGAGTTCTTTATGGAAGTGGCTAAGTAACCTGTTCAATTTCTCTGGCATAGGAAACTGGTTGTTTCAGGGAGCCCTGACTATCCTGTTTGAAATCTTAACGATTTAAATATGTTTTCAGTTAATCTCCTGTTATATCCAGAATTGTGTAAGGTATGCCACCCAAGTGACTGCCCCAAAACAGAGTGCTAATATGATGATTTCGAAATATCACTGATGAAAGAAGAGATAAAGAACGATTAATATGTGGAACCCAGTAATTGTTGGTCTTTGCGTAAGCTTGACCAAAAGGAGGGATTGTGAAAGTGAAATGAATTATATTAAAGAAATAGAATGAATTAAAGAATGCTGTATGTACCTTTAAGTAGAAATGAGAAATGCTGCAAGCCAGGGGGCAGGAAAGCAGACATTAACTGCTTAATGAATTGCCCCACTTAAGGGCAATTGGTGAAGGATTAGCTTTAGATCGAGAAGAGTTAATAAGAAAGCAGGATATGCATATTGTGCCCTATGCAAATTTCACAATTTTGCGCTCTCTCTCCCTTTGTTTAGTTCGCACCCTTTTATCTGTATAAATAAGACTGTTTGAATCTTGCATGGGGGCTCACATTATCTGAATGTATTAGCAGAGCGCTGTGCTAGAACCATTAAAATGAATGGTCTGCCAGTGGATACCTGGTTTGTGGGTGATGAGCCAGGGGATACCAAGAATGACTGGAGGATGTAGGGAGTAGCTCAAGCTGAACTGGAAGACTTCATGGTAATCTTGAAGAACGTTGACTTCTCTGGGGGCTGTTTGGTGGAGGACTGGACTCAAAAAGAGGAGCAATTTGTCAATGGCCTTCACAAATCAGGAGTTGTCTTGGGATGAGTTAGAATATTATGCACTCAAGCAAACTCCAAATTCATGAAATTGCTTGAAGTGCCAGAGTCCCCTACAGCCTCTAGGTTAATGTCCAACACTGTGGGGTGCCAGAGAAGGAGGAGGAGTTGGAGGCGTGTCAGACTGTGATTGTTGTCAAAGTCCCAGCAGACCCATGTCAGTGTGAAGCACCAGAGCAAGGGGGATGACACCAACTCAGTCCAGACCCCTCTGCTGGGCTGGGCTTCCTGTTTCCTGACCAGAACCAAGACCAGACTTTTGCACATAGCTTGGAACAAAGTGTCCCAGTTCACTGCAGTACAGACATAGGCCTGATGCTCAATACCATTTTTTCTCTTTATGGATTCTGGTTGGGACGAGGATGCAGGGAGTTGGCAGACTGGACCTGACGAGACTGGGGCGGGTCAGGACGTCAGCCTTCTTTCTAGGCAGTGTTCCCTCAGGGGTTGTCAACCTTAATACCGAGCTCGATCAAGGCATCCAGATCAACTGGTGGCTCTAGTCACGCCAGTTTATGTTTGATCTCATCTCTGAGGCTAAGCCGGAAGTGGTAGCTGTGCACAGCCTCATTCCATACAGTGTCAACTATCAGACACCAGAACTCCAGGGCATAAGTAGCAATTGGCTGGTGTCCCTGCCACAGGGTTTGGAGTGTGGCCACATACCTATGGCTCAGGACAGCAAAAATTGCTGCTGGGGCTTGAACAAAGTCCTCAGATTGGTTCAGGAAAGCGCTAGATTTTTCCAGGAGTTGGGAGGCCCAAGCCAACACCTCTGCTGTCAGCAGGCTAGTGATAAGTCCCCCCCAAGAGTGGTCAATGGAGAAGGTGGGGAGGGATGGCAGGTGCAGCAGGAATAGCAACCAGCACTGGTCCATAAAACTTTGGAACTGGCTGAGGTCACCGCCAAACTTGTCTGTCAGGGGAATTTTAGGTTCCTGAGAGGGGAGTTACAGGCGATGCAACGTGCCTGCAGTGTAGCATTCTGCGCCTGCAAAGTGTCTACCTGCTGTGGTAGGTTTTGTATGGCACCCACTATCTCTGAGAGAGATGCTGGCCTTAGTGGGATCCATTCCAGTAACTGACCCATTCCTACTTCCCTTCTTTATCTCCTTTTCGGTTGGGCTGCTCAGTGTCACAGACTGGGACATGGGCCAGTCATGCCTAGTGGTTAGAGCCAGAGTCAAGCTACAGGAGCCAGAGCTGAGGGTCAGGGCCAGGGTCAGGAACCAGGAGTCAGAAACTGAGCAGGGGTGCAGAGCTGGAGTGGGCTGGAGCAAGACGAGAACAAAGCAGGCACAGGAACAATCACAGCTGTGGGTATAAGCATTGAGCAACCACTGGCCAAGTGCTACTGCGGGGCTTAATAGTAATCCTGGAAATGCCTCTCAGCCAATCAGGTGATCTGGCTGATTAGGGGTTTCAGCCATGGTTAGCTAGCTGATCCTAGGCCCAGGTATAGGCCCTCATTCTTGTGCCCTCCCTCCTGCCCGCAGGATGGATAAGCCCTGGCCCAAGCCCCCTGCTCCCGGGATGGACAAACCCTAACCCTGTACCCATGGATTGGACCCCATGGTCTTAGGCACTATGCACACACACGATGCATAGACAGTTTCTACCCTAAAAGACTCAGAGTCTAAGAATATGGCTGTAGAAAGCAGGAAGGAATCTGAACTGGGCTAGGTGAGGGGCACAGGTGGCTATACAGTTGGGCAGCATATGTAGCAGTCACAGCGCTCCAGCTGCCCAGACATTATCAGGCTTGTAGCGTATGCAATAGTGATGACAGCAGCCAGGACTCAGAGTTCCTTACAGCTGTGCCCCATCCTGTGTGCCTGCATTCATCCCAGCTCTATTGAAATGGGGGGAGTTCTGTACATACCATTTTTGCCCTGCTGATCAGGTACCGGAGTAAATCCTTGATGCTGTTCGCCTTGTTTCTCTGGAAATACACAGTGGCTTGAGTTTGGCCATACTCTGTGGCAAGTGGTATCACTGGCCAGCCCAGCTCCAGCTCTGGAGGCTGCATGTCAGACAGGAGTGGGAAGTAGGTACCAGAGCTTAGTTCAGAGAGAAGGGAGGCCCTGTCCTCAGAGTCTCCCTCTTTGGGCTCGGTCTGATGCCCCTTCCTTGCATTAGGCTCCAGGATACTCTGGCTTCTATGCTGGCTCATGTAGTCCATGTCTAGGGGGGAGAGAAATGGCAGCTCCTGTTCCTCAGCAATGGCTTGCAGATAACCAGGCTCCCCCTGCTCCAGAAAGGCATCCACAGCCAGCCTGGCTGTCTCACTGTGCTGCAGCACCAGGGGGATGGGCTTCCTCCACCACAGCTTCTTCAGCTCCTCCAACCGACTCCGCAGCGGTCCAGACACGCCAGGACTGTCCCCAGAGCCCCTCTGGAACCGGGACCCGGCCTGAACATGGTGGCTGAACATGACGACAGCTGCTGATGCTAATCCTCCAGAGGTTCTGCCTGTTGTGTTCTTCGGCAGCTGGCTCTGGCCCTCTCTTCCAACACTTTGTCTCTCTCTAATTTTCCTCAGCTCTTTCAGAATGGGTTTCCCTGGGGCTGTGGGACTTGAGAGCTCACTGCACTTTGTTACTTACTCTCTAGGGTTGCCAACAATTCCTTAGGAGAAGAGACGTCCCTTATTTCTTCATCTCTGCACATCAAGATTGGGAGTTGCTGAGTGCTGCAAAAAGCAGCAAGAAATACCCCTGGCGAATGTAGGTGAGTCCTGCTTATTAATTATTAATAATAATAGCGGGAGGGGCACTAAGAGAACAGCCCCTTATTTTTGAAATACAGCATTGGCAATCCTACCTGAGTCTGCGTTAGTTGTCAGTTACTGCTGAACATCCCTCCACTCCGGGGGAAGAGGTAGTTTTCAGCAAACCTTGCTCTCAGTTTTGCTGGCTGCAGACAAGTTTCCGTGCCGTTGTGATTCTCAGTGTCTGGCTTGTCCCTTCCAGATGGATTCAAGAATTAATAGGCTCTTCCTCCTTCCTGCCAGTAACCGATTGCCGATATACTTCCTCATGTACTGACACCCAGGCAGCTTTCTGCTCTCACCTCCGCTTGTCTGTCAGCCAGGGTGCAACCTGCCGGGTCAGGTCCTGTGCTCAGAGTGGAATGCACATGTTGAATCTTGTTCCAAACCAAACATGTTTCTCAGTGGTAATTATTAAAAAATGCAAATATCACAAGCAATTAACGATAGTCAGCTAGTCAGCAAACACAGAGGAGACGGCCACTTGCTCATGATCACGTTGTCTGCCTGAAGTACCACAGTCTCAGAACAGCACATGCCTTTTATGCCATAAACCCTGCAGAAGCAATAATTCACAACAGACATGCGTTTTTTTGGTATCTCCCCAAAGACACATCTTGGGGGCACAGAAGCCAAGATGTCTGAGAATGTCTGTTTCTCATGCAGTGCTAGACCAGCAACACTATGCACATTATGGGTATTTTCAGTGCTGTGTTGAGCCCAGTCTGCCTGTGGTATTAGGGAGCCTTTAATACAGGGGGGACACATCAGGAGTTGTCACTTTGTACTTTGCATCCCTTCCCTAACACATACTGAATGGTATGTGTTACTGGTACATGCACTGCACAATGTTCAGGAAGAAAAACTCTGAACAGGGGAGCTGATTTTCAGCAAATAGATGCATGTTCGATTGCACAACTGCTTTGCGTGTGCGCTCCCAGAATTGAATGCAAACAGCGGAGATTTGCGCTGTGCATGTCTAGTGTGTAACCAACTCCCCAATTTGCACATGCACATTGGGTCATCATCATCATCATAGCAGCCGGTAGCACAGACCACATGTAACGTTTTTCATCCATAGATGTCAAAGTGCTTTCCAAGGGTGACAGCAGTATTATTATCCCATTTCCCAGAAAGGGAATCTGAGACCCAGGGAGGCAAAGGCCAACATTTCCAAACTCAAGGGCCATCATGGTCACTAGGGACTGACGGTGTCAGCACTCCTGAGAATCAGGCCATGTCATTTTAGGCAAGTTTTAATACAAATACACTTTTAAGATGAGTCATGAGGCTGGATTGTACTCACTGACGGGCGGGAGGCGCACAGGTTCTGAAGTGCTGAGTAATATGATTCTCCTCCCAGTCATTATCATAGCAAAGTACTTTACTTCCAACTGATTTGTTTTGGGGGTGGGGGTGTGCATGGTTTCTGTTAATGAAGCTGTTGCATGGCCATTGCTCAGAAAGCTATGGCTTGATGCCAGCCATGTTCAGCCTGCATCTAGCCTTCCAGTGCAGGCTCAGATCATGGAAAAGGCTGTGGTGACACAAGTCTCCCAGTACTGTATCTGGCTCTCATGAGGTTCCCTCACCATGGGTGGCAACTCCTGCTGGCCGTTGCGGGGATTAGCTCTGCCAGCCGGTGCGCCCATTCCCGGTGGTGACTCTCCCATCATCATCGCTGTCTTTGTGACTGGTTGGGAAGTTTAACTTCAGTGTTACCCACCAGCCTGGGAGTATCTACTCTCCTTTTGGCAGCCTGCCCTGACCGTGGCATTTTCAGGGAGGGCTGCCCCAGGCACCCCGGGTGATACCTACCTCCAACTATGGCCTACATAACACAGAAACACAGCCTAAACAGACACTTTGCAATGCCGCTCAAAGTCAGAGACTCTCTACACTGGTGGACGCAACCCAACAATGTGTGTGTGTGGGGGAGTCCCTTTCACACAGACTCCACCTTCAATGATTCTTACAACTGATGCCTCGTTGATAGGCTGCGGAGCCCATGTACAGCACCACACAATTCAGAGCAGGTGGTCTCCCTCCAAGACACTGTTACACAGAAATCTCCTGGAACTGTGCGCGGTTCACGTGTGCTTGCTCTTCCAGTCCTTAATCAGGAATGAGACTATACGGGTAAGGACGGACAACATTGCCTGAATGTTTTATATAAACCGGCAGGGAGGGGCAAGGTCACACTCCCTATGCACCAAACCCACGAAACTATGGAACTGGTGTATCCAACACAATGTCAGCATATCAGCCTCGTATCTCCCAGGTTGTCAAAACATTACAACACGCTGAGCAGAGAATTTTCTCAGGATCACGAGTGGGAAATAAACAACATAGTCCTACAGAACATATTCAAACACTGGGGTCACCCATCCATTGACATCTTCACGACATCCCAGGATGGCAAATGCCGGCAATTCTGTTCAAGAGCAGGGCTGGGGCCCCAATCCCTGGGAGATGCCTTCCTTCTCAAATGGGATGCACTTCTGCTAAATGTGTTTCCTCTGATCCCCCTGTTATTGAGGTTTATACACAAAATATGAACCGACAAGGGCAAAGTCATCTTGGTAGCCCCCGCTTGGCCCAGACATACTTGGTACTTGTACCTGTTGCGGATGACGGTATGCACACTTCACACTCTTCTACTTCAGGCAACCCTTCTATCGCAGGATGCAGGGAAGAAAGGGGCAGTTGATAGTAATTAATATAAATGAGAAGTTAATAATTGTAGAAAATTGATAAGAGAATAAAAGGAACACAAGAAGAAATCTGCAGCCAGCAGAGTTAGGGACAGTAAGAAAGAATTTTTTTAATATATTAGGAACAAAAAAATCCTGACAATGATATTGGTCCACTACTAGATGGAAATGGTATAATTATCAATAATAAAGCAGAAAAGGCAGAAGTGTTCAATAAATATTTCTGGACTGTATTTGAGGAAGGCTGCCGAGGACACCTGTGCCCTAGTCGAGTGAGCCCTCGCTATCGGCGGCAGGGGTACCTTTGCGAGCTCGTAGCAGTAGCGGATACAGGCTGTGATCCACGATGATATTCTTTGGGCAGAGACAGGGCTACCTTTCATCCTGTCTGCGATCGCAGCGAACAACTGTGTCAACTTATGGAATGGCTTTGTTCTATCTATGTAGAAGCCAGGGCCCGTCTGACGTCCAGGACATGCAACTTGCATTCCTCATCCGTTGAGTGGGGCTTAGGACAAAGGACCAACAAGTATATGTCTTGACCAGTATGGAACTGGGTGATGACCTTGAGCTGAAAGGCTGGGTGCGGACGCAGATGAACCTTGTCCTTCTAGAAGACCGTGTAAGGTGGTTCAGATGCTAGCACTCTGATTTCAGACACTCGACAGGCCGAAGTTATGGCGACTAGGAGGGAGACCTTCCAGGAGAGAAGCAGGAGGGAGCAGGAAGCTAGGGGTTCGAAGGTGGGACCCATGATCCACGACAGCACAAGATTCAGATCCCAAGGGGGTACCAGACCCCGGACATGTGGGTTAAGGTGCTCCAGACCTTTCAGAAACTGTGCCGTCATAGGGTGGGTGAAGACCGACCTCCCTTGAAATGGAGGATGGAATGCCGAAATGGCTGCCAGATGCACCTTGACTGAAGACAGCGACAGGCCCTGGAGCTTACGGTGCAGCAAATAGTCCAGGGCGTCTTGTAGCGGGTCCTCTTCTGCACGGTCCCGGATGTGACGATCCGAGGCCCAACACGTAAATCGCTTCCACTTTGCCACACAGGTAGCTCATGCGGACACCATTGGAACACTGTCATTCCTTTCCATGCAGCAGCCAGGCTGTCAAGTGCTGCGCCGCCAGGTTTGGGTGCAGCAGATTGCCATGGTTCTGGGACAGCAGATCCAGCTGAAGAGGCAGCTGCAGGTGGGTGGCTGCCAACAGACTCAGCACCATGCCGAACCAGTGTTGACGAGGCCATGCTGGGGCCACAAGGATGACCAGGACCTTGTCTTGCTTCACCTTCAGGAGACTCTGTGGATCAATGGGGGAGGTCCAGGTTGGATATCAGGAAAAACTATTTCACTAGGAGGGTGGTGAAACACTGGAATGCGTTACCTAGGGAGGTGGTGGAGTCTCCTTCCTTGGAGGTTTTTAAGGCCCGGCTTGACAAAGCCCTGGCTGGGATGATTTAGCTGGGAATTGGTCCTGCTTTGAGCAGGGGGTTGGACTAGATGACCTCTTGAGGTCCCTTCCAACTCTGATATTCTATGATTCTATGATTCTATGATCAAGGGCACTGGCGGGAAGGCATACATCAGCGCTCCTGACCATGAAATCAGGAAGGCATCCGACAGGGAGCCCTGGTCCCTGCCCTGCAGAAAGAAGAACACATGGAATTTCCTGTTCTGTCTGGATGCAAACAGGTCCACCTGGGGATTCCCCCACTTGCGGAAGATCAGGTTGACTACCTCTAGATGGAGCGACCATTCATGGCGAGATGAGAAGGTCCTGCTGAGGTGATCCGCCAAGACGTTCTTGGTCCCCGGCAGGTGGGTGGCCACCAGGTGAATGGCGTTCCTCACGCAAAAGTCCCAGTGGCCGAGCACTACTCGACAAAGGGCCGAAGACCTGGCACCCCCCTGTGTGTTGATGTAATACATCGCGGCGATATTGTCCATCGGGACCTGCACCACCTTGCCCTGCAAGTGGGGAAAAAAAGCCTGGCAGGCCAGGAGAACCACCCTGAGTTCCCTGACATTGATGTGGAGGGCCGGGTCAAGATGTAGCCAATGTGGGCTACACCAGCCCAGATCCTACACCAGGTGGGCTCCTCAGCCCAGATCCAAAGCGTCCGAGACCAGGGTGAGCGATGGAGACGGGGACACAAAAGGAACTCCCCGGAGCACCGACTTGGGATCCTGTCACTAGTCCAGCAACAGTAGGACATGGCTCGGCATTGTGACCACTCCGTCTAGGGGGTACCTGCTGGAAACGTAAACCGAGGCCAGCCACATTTGCAGAGGCCTCAAAGTTGGGCATGGCTGACCACGTACGTGCACACGGCCATGTGGCTCAACAGTTGCAGACACGTGTGGGCTGTAGTGAGCGGGTGGGCTTGTATATGGGAGATTAAGCCCGCCATGGCCTGAAAATGTGCTTCGGGAAGGAAGGCCCTGGCCTGCGTGGAGTCAAGAACCACGCCAATAAACTCTATACGTTGGACTGGTGTTAACATGGACTTTTCTGCATTTATCAACAGGCCCAGGTCGCTGCTGGTGGAATGCACCAGATCAAGGCTCCTTTGTACCTGCTCCAGAGACCTGCCCTTGATGAGCCAGTCGTCGAGATATGGAAAGATCTGGTCCCCCCGATGTCTGAGGTAAGCCGCCACTGGTGCCACGCATTTTGTGAACACCCTGGGGGCCGAGGACAGGCCAAAAGGTAACGCCATGAACTGAAAATGGTGCCTGGCCACTATGAAGCACAGGAACTGTCTATGTCCTGGGAATATGGAGACATGGAAGTAAGTGTCCTTTAAGTCGAGAGCGGCGTACTAGTCCCCGGATCCAGGGAAGGGATGATGGAGGCCAGGGAGACCATATGGAACTTCAACTTCTTGAGAGGCTTGTTGAGGCCATGCAGGTCCAGAATGGGTCTGAGGTCCCCTTTTGCCTTTGGGATTAGGAAGTAGTGGGAATAGAATCCTCTTCCTTCCATATCCCAAGGA